AGTGCCAGTGGTCCTGGCAGCAGCTGTCAATCCTCGAAGCATCTTCGCGGCACAGCTGGCACTGCTCGCCGCCGCAACCGCGGCAGGTGGTCTCCATGCAGGTCTTCACATCCTCCTCCCAGGCACATTGGAGGCTTTCAGCCCCGTACAAGCCAGCGCAAGGCGTCGTAGGAGTCGGAGGGTGGGCCTTGCACATGTCGATCTGCGAAGTTACCGATTCCAGCCCTTGCTGGGAGCAGCAGGATTCGACGGTCTTCGCATCCTCGCGACAAAGCTGGCACTGCTCTCCCCCGCAGCCATGACAAAGGGTGTCCATGCAAGATGACACGCAAGCAGACACGGTGTTTTGGTCTTCACGGCAGAGCTGGCATTGCTCACCACCGCAGCCGCGGCACTTGCTTTCAATGCAATCGTGCAAGGACTCTGCTGAAGCCAAAGCAAGAACTAGGCTGAGCCCAAGTGTACGAGCCATGGCCATGACAAAGCTGACGAGGGCTCGACGCCAAGCAAAAAGGCTGCTGGTTACCTACGGAAATTCCTGAGCCAAGCATGGTCACACGGTGTCAGCAGCTGCAGGAAACGTAGCGGCACACAAAACACGAACAAACACAAATTTGGAGCGGGGGCGAGTCTGTGTTGGGGAGGCCGTGGTGTGCGTGCGATGAATGGAAGCATTCCATGCCATTAATAGACGGGCCTTACAAAAGATCGGATGCCCGCAGTACTCTGCGGTTTCTCGGAGCTTCCAATCAGGGAAGTCTCTGCCCAAACAGCTGCCAACACATGCCTTTCACTCGCACGCTCGCATAGGAGTTTGACGATGTTGCATTCTGATCTGCTGGGATTGAAACCTCATGCAGATGGTCCGAAAGGCATAATTTCATGCTGAAGCAGGAATTGTCAGGAACTTTTGTCCTCATCTAAGATCTGTCCAAAATCGGTCACTAAGACTCTAAGCACACTTGCAAGCTTCCTTCCAAGTGGCACCAACAGCCACGAAGCTGTACACCTCAGCACGTTCACGGCCTATGGAAGAATTGGCATCTTGTTGGAAGCCTCGCAGGAAGGAGTTCGCATGGCCCCAGTGCAGCATTCGCTCCTGGCATCTTCACGGCACAGCTGGCACTGTTCACCACCACAGCCGTGGCACTTGCTTTCGAAACAGCTGGTAACAGCTTCTTCCTTGGAGTCTTTGCACATCTGCGGCGGATCAACGGAGTGGTAGTGGTCATCACAGCAGCTGGCGATCCTCGAAGCATCTTGGCGACACAGCTGGCACTGCTCGCCGCCGCAACCCTTGCAGGCAGCCTCCACGCAGCTCTTGGCATCTTGCTCCCATGCACACTGCAAGCCATCGGCACCATAGAGCCCGTCGCACGGATCCTTGGATTCCAGCTTGTCCTTGGCATCCTTACACATCTGCGGCGGATCCACTGAGTGCCAGTGGTCCTGGCAGCAGCTGTCGATCCTCGAAGCATCTTCGCGGCACAGCTGGCACTGCTCGCCGCCGCAACCGCGGCAGGTGGTCTCCATGCAGGTCTTCACATCCTCCTCCCAGGCACATTGGAGGCTTTCAGCCCCGTACAAGCCAGCGCAAGGCGTCGTAGGAGTCGGAGGGTGGGCCTTGCACATGTCGATCTGCGAAGTTACCGATTCCAGCCCTTGCTGGGAGCAGCAGGATTCGACGGTCTTCGCATCCTCGCGACAAAGTTGGCACTGCTCTCCCCCGCAGCCATGACAAAGGGTGTCCATGCAAGATGACACGCAAGCAGACACGGTGTTTTGGTCTTCACGGCAGAGCTGGCATTGCTCACCACCGCAGCCGCGGCACTTGCTTTCAATGCAATCGTGCAAGGACTCTGCTGAAGCCAAAGCAAGAACTAGGCTGAGCCCAAGTGCACGAGCCATGGCCATGACAAAGCTGACGAGGGCTCGACGCTAAGCGCAAAAGCTGCTGGTTAGCCACGGAAATTCCTGAGCCAAGCATGGTCACACGGTGTCAGCAGCTGCAGGAAACGTAGCAGCACCCAAAACACGAACAAACACAAATTTGGAGCGGGGGCGAGTCTGTGTTGGGGAGTCCGTGGTGTGCGTGCGATGAATGGAAGCATTCCATGCCATTAATAGACGGATATAGACGGGCCTTGCGACAAATCGGCAACCCGAGGTACTCTGCGTTTTCTGAGAGCTTCCAATGAGGGACGTCTGTGCCCAAACAGCTGCCAACACATGCCTTTCACTCGCACGCTCGCATAGGAGTTTGACGATGTTGCATTCTGATCTGCTGGGATTGAAACCTCATGCAGATGGTCCGAAAGGCATAATTTCATGCTGAAGCAGGAATTGTCAGGAACTTTTGTCCTCATCTAAAACATGTCCAAAATCGGTCTCTAAGACTCTAAGCACACTTGCAAGCTTCCTTCCAAGTGGCACCAACAGCCACGTAGCTGTACACCTCAGCACGTTCACGGCCTATGGAAGAATTGGCATCTTGTTGGAAGCCTCGCAGGAAGGAGTTCGCATGGCCCCAGTACAGCATTCGCTCTTGGCATCTTCGCGGCACAGCTGGCACTGTTCACCACCACAGCCGTGGCACTTGCTGTCGAAACAGCTGGTAACAGCTTCTTCCTTGGAGTCTTTGCACATCTGCGGCGGATCAACGGAATGGTAGTGGTCATCACAGCAGCTGGCGATCCTCGAAGCATCTTCGCGGCACAGCTGGCACTGCTCGCCGCCGCAACCGCGGCAGGTGGTCTCCATGCAGGTCTTCACATCCTCCTCCCAGGCACATTGGAGGCTTTCGGCTCCGTACAAGCCAGCGCAAGGCGTCGTAGGAGTCGGAGGGTGGGCCTTGCACATGTCGATCTGCGAAGTTACCGATTCCAGCCCTTGCTGGGAGCAGCAGGATTCGACGGTCTTCGCATCCTCGCGACAAAGCTGGCACTGCTCTCCCCCGCAGCCATGACAAAGGGTGTCCATGCAAGATGACACGCAAGCAGACACGGTGTTTTGGTCTTCACGGCAGAGCTGGCATTGCTCACCACCGCAGCCGCGGCACTTGCTTTCAATGCAATCGTGCAAGGACTCTGCTGAAGCCAAAGCAAGAACTAGGCTGAGCCCAAGTGTACGAGCCATGGCCATGACAAAGCTGACGAGGGCTCGACGCCAAGCAAAAAGGCTGCTGGTTAGCTACGGAAATTCCTGAGCCAAGCATGGTCACACGGTGTCAGCAGCTGCAGGAAACGTAGCAGCACCCAAAACACGAACAAACACAAATTTGGAGCGGGGGCGAGTCTGTGTTGGGGAGGCCGTGGTGTGCGTGCGATGAATGGAAGCATTCCATGCCATTAATAGACGGGCCTTACAAAAGATCGGATGCCCGCAGTACTCTGCGGTTTCTCGGAGCTTCCAATCAGGGAAGTCTCTGCCCAAACAGCTGCCAACACATGCCTTTCACTCGCACGCTCGCATAGGAGTTTGACGATGTTGCATTCTGATCTGCTGGGATTGAAACCTCATGCAGATGGTCCGAAAGGCATAATTTCATGCTGAAGCAGGAATTGTCAGGAACTTTTGTCCTCATCTAAAACATGTCAAAAATCGGTCTCTAAGACTCTAAGCACACTTGCAAGCTTCCTTCCAAGTGGCACCAACAGCCACGAAGCTGTACACCTCAGCACGTTCACGGCCTATGGAAGAATTGGCATCTTGTTGGAAGCCTCGCAGGAAGGAGTTCGCATGGCCCCAGTACAGCATTCGCTCCTGGCATCTTCACGGCACAGCTGGCACTGTTCACCACCACAGCCGTGGCACTTGTTGTCGAAACAGCTGGTAACAGCTTCTTCCTTGGAGTCTTTGCACATCTGCGGCGGATCGACAGAGTGGTAGTGGTCATCACAGCAGCTGGCGATCCTCGAAGCGTCTTGGCGACACAGCTGGCACTGCTCGCCGCCGCAACCCTTGCAGGCAGCCTCCACGCAGCTCTTGGCATCTTGCTCCCATGCACACTGCAGGCTCTCGGCGCCGAAGAGCCCGTCGCACGGATTCTTGGATTCCAGCTTGTCCTTGGCATCCTTACACATCTGCGGCGGATCCACTGAGTGCCAGTGGTCCTGGCAGCAGCTGTCGATCCTCGAAGCATCTTCGCGGCACAGCTGGCACTGCTCGCCGCCGCAACCGCGGCAGGTGGTCTCCATGCAGGTCTTCACATCCTCCTCCCAGGCACATTGGAGGCTTTCGGCTCCGTACAAGCCAGCGCAAGGCGTCGTAGGAGTCGGAGGGTGGGCCTTGCACATGTCGATCTGCGAAGTTACCGATTCCAGCCCTTGCTGGGAGCAGCAGGATTCGACGGTCTTCGCATCCTCGCGACAAAGCTGGCACTGCTCTCCCCCGCAGCCATGACAAAGGGTGTCCATGCAAGATGACACGCAAGCAGACACGGTGTTTTGGTCTTCACGGCAGAGCTGGCATTGCTCACCACCGCAGCCGCGGCACTTGCTTTCAATGCAATCGTGCAGGGTCTCTGCTGAAGCCAAAGCAAGAACTAGGCTGAGCCCAAGTGTACGAGCCATGGCCATGACAAAGCTGACGAGGGCTCGACGCCAAGCAAAAAGGCTGCTGGTTAGCTACGGAAATGCCTGCGCCAAGCATGCACACACAGAGTCAACAGCTGCAGGAAACGTAGCGGCACCAAAAGCGCAAACACAAGCGCAGCACTGTCTGCAGCGGGAAGGAGGATGGGCAGTGTGGGAGCGGGACAAGGGAGGAAAGACGACGAAGGTTCACGGTACTTACTATGGGCTTATAACCCTACTTATAAGTGGGATAACCCCTATAAGGCCCTTTAGGGGTATTATAAGTAGCATGGTTTAGCCGCAGCATGCAACTACGACTCTTGCCACTGCTGACTCCTGCTGTCACTGCCAGTTCTGCTGCCATGTCGAAACCCTACTCTCTAAACCCGAAACCCTGGGTCCAAATCAAACAAGATAGGTGGGAGCCTCCACGCGCCAGGAGTACTGCACGCCGTCCTGCACCAAAAGGCTCATTTTAAGGTTTTGGCTCGTGATTCCCAGGGTGCTTCGCATGCCATTCATCACATTGGTGGAAGAAAGGCACTGACCGATTTCTGTGAACAAGGTCCTGGCACCTAGGGCACTCACTCTCTCCGTCACGTACAGTGGACATACTTGCCCACATGCCACACGGCAGGCAGTCGAAGCTTTTAGAGACCTAACTGAGTTGCAATAACCCTAAACCCTGAACCCTAAACCCTAAACCCTAAACCCTAAACCCTAAACCCTAAACCCTAAACCCTAAACCCTAACCCTAAACCCTAAACCCTAGACCCTAGACCCTAGACCCAAAACCCTAAACCCTAACCCTGGCGGCACGAACTTTTCGACCCTCACGCAGACTTCTTCTCATCCGGAGGAGCTTTCGCTCCTGCCCTCGCATAGAGAGCCATAGAGATCACCTTGGACAATTGCAGGGTTTAGGGTCTAAGGTTTAAAGTTCAGGGTTTAGGGTTTGAAGTTCAAGGTTTAGGGTTTAGAGTTCAGGGTTTGGGGTTTAAAGTTCAAGGTTTAGGGTTTAGGGTTTAGGGGACTCCCAGTATGTGCAGAAAGGATGAGAGCAAGACAACAAGAGAGAAAGAGAGAGAGAGAGAGAGGGAGAGGGAGAGAATGGTCTTCCGCAGTCTCCCGCCATGGCGAGGCTTGGGGTCCCCTCCCCCCTTCCCCCCCCCAGCGCCAAAAACTCCAGCTCCAAAACGGGAATCACGTGTCCGAGCAAATACAACCTAGGTTTCTATTTGCTAACACTACTTGCCCTAAACCCCAAACCCTAAACCTAAACCTTGAACTATAAACCCTAGCCCTGAACCATAGCATTCCATGCTCACGCTCAGGCTGGCTTTAAAAGGGCTCTCGTACCGAATAACGCGGCTTGACCAGTGAAAGCAAGCACATGAGAAACTGAACCCTAAATCAAGGGACTGCAGGAGGGACCCTTATAACGGAACTTAGGGGCTATTTATGGGCCAATTAGCGGGTAGGCACTATATAAGGGTTATATAGAGGAACAAGATTAAGGGTCCCATGTAGGGGCCCCCCTTATACCCCTTAACCAAACCCTAAACCCTAAACCCTGAACCCTAAACCCCAAACCCTAAACCCTACATCCCAAACCCGAAACCCTAAACCCTAAACCCTAAACCCCAAACTCGAGAATGACCGAGGCGGCCACGCAGATCACGGCGCCCAGGTGAAACCTAAGCTGCGCAGCTGATATGGGGGGGTTCGAAGACTGAGGTTTTGGGGGGAGGGCTTAGGGCTTAGGGCTTAGGGTTTAGGGTTTGGGGTTCGGGGTTTGGGAGAATATGGGGGTTCTGGGATTTAGGGTTCAGGGTTTAGGGCTGTCGGGTTGTAGGGTTCAAGGCTGTAGGGTTGATAAGCTTGCTGGGTCACAGGTAGGGCTTTGGGGCTTTAAGTGGATGTGGCTTCAAGGGTTTAGGGCTTAGGGCCTAGGGCTTTGGGCTTAGGGCTTAGGGCTTAGGGCTTAGGGCTTAGGGCTTAGTGCTTAGTGCTTAAGGGTTTAGGGTTTAGGGTTTAGGGTTTAGGGCTTGGGGTTGTTCAGCACGAGCAGCTGCCACGGAGGTTGTTGCCTCGCGGCACAGGGAGTGTTCTTCCAAATTGGGCCCCGTGCTGGGTAGTGGGGTGGGGGAGGGGTTTAGGGTTTAGGGTTTAGGGTTCAGGGTTCAGGGTTTAGGGTTTAGGGTTTAGGGTTTAGGGTTTAGGGTTTAGGGTTTAGGGTGTGGGGCCGGGGGGGGAGGGGGGTGGGGTAGGTACCTTGTATACTGCTCAGATTCCCTTGAAAAGTTCTCCGGGCTCCTTGATCCCTAAAGCCTAAACCATAAACCCTGACCCTAAACCCTAAACCCTAAACCCTAAACCCTAAACCCCACATAGAGAAGGGATCAAGGGAAAGGGGCTCCGACCACTGTGCAAACGCGAACCCCCCGAACGCAGCAAACATGGAGCAAAGGGAGGGAAGCCCTAAACCCTAAACCCTAAACTTTCAGGGTCTAGGGCTTAGGGCTGAGGCTTAGGGATTGGATCAGATCACTACAGATGCTGGTGATCTGCTCTAATGCGCGAATATGTGGGAAGCACATACATCTCTACATATATTGCATTCGAGTCTCCCTGCAACGGAATTTGCTTGCGGTTTAGGGTTTAGGGTTTCGGGTTTAGGGTTTCGGGTTTACGGTTTAGGGTTTAGGGCTTAGGCTTGAGGGTTTAGGGTTTAGGGTTTAGGGTTTAGGCTTGAGGGTTTAGGGTTTAGGGTTTAGGGTTTAGGGTTTAGGGTTTAGGGTTTAGGGTTTAGGGTTTGGGGTCGTCCCTGAAAGTGCCGGAGAGCTTGTCCCTAAATCCTCACGAAAATCTTCCTTAGACCCTGAAGGCCTCATCTGGGGAATGCCCTAAACCCTAAACCCTAAACCCTAAACCCTAAACCGTGGGCCTCAGCACGACGGAGGTCAGCCCGGCTGTCACGAAGATTGACGCGCTGAAGGCGTAGTTCTTCGCCTCGGGTTGGGCTTCTTTATCCCTAAACCCTAAACCCTAAACCCTAAACCCTAAACCCTAAACCCTAAACCCCTCAAGCCAGGAATGTACCATGAATGATGATGGGATCCCTAATATGCTTCTTTCATGAGTGATGAGCTTTCGTGTTGAGCTCGGGGCTAAACCCTAAACCCTAAACCCTAAACCCGAAACCCAAGACGAAGCACGATACTATCGATCTGCCGCATCAGGAGGGAGATGAGAATCCCGTTGATGGCTTCGTTGAAGAGGGCCGCAATGTCAGACCTCAGCCCCCATCCGCGGCATCATCAGGGTTTGGAGTTTAGGGTTTAGGGCTTAGGGTTTAGGGTTTTAGGGGTCTAGGGTTTAGGGTTTAGGGTTTAGGGTTTAGGGTTAGGGTTTAGGGTTTAGGGTTTAGGGTTTAGGGTTTAGGGTTTAGGGTTTAGGGTTTAGGGCTTAGGGTTTAGGGTTTAGGGTTTAGGGTTTAGGGTTTAGGGTTTAGGGTTTAGGGTTTAGGGTTTAGGGCGCACCTGTTTCAGGGCTTGGAATTTGGCCGTGCCCTGCACAGCATCATCAAGCTAAGCCAGATGCCCGAGGGCGAAAGATGTCGAAAGGACAGGTGTATGAGCCCAACCCGAACCACGAGAAAGTCAAGTACTCCAAGTCTTCAGACTTCTGAGCGGCAGGGTCGGGAAGTCCCGCATACATAATGAGGAATAATTCGGAACTGACAACAGGGATAATGCGAGAAGCGTTGGCGTGGCCGGGTCTTACAGAGTAGTTGGCATGCTCAACCCCTCACCCTCAATCCCTGCAAGCGCCACAACCGGGGCCCGAAACCCGAAACCCAAAACCCTAACCCGAAGCCCTAAACCCTAAACCCCTGAACTTTATCAGGAGCTCACCCGCAGAAAACAATACCGATCCCGTCGCATCGTCCCTTCTCTTTTCTTGTCTAAGTACCGAACCCTAGCCTCCCCACCCTGAACCCTAGCACATAACCACTTCGAACATCCCCGCCATGTCCTTAAAACCACTGTGCAGGCTTAAAGATATTACAGTGCTGGGAGCGAAGCGCTTTGGCGTCATCCTAAACCCTAAATAAACCCCAAAACCCTAAACCGCTCTGGACACTGGATAGAAGAAGTTTTGAGCGCCGGGTTCAAGTTTAGTGCAGCCTGCCGGGATTGTCTAAGGTTTAGGGTTTCGGGCTGAGGGTTGGCTATGATAAGGCACAGCATTCAGCATTGCTTCGGGTCTTAGTGTTTTAGCTCGGTGGGGTCAAAGAATATGGTTGTGTTGGGGGGTTGCTGGTTGCACAGCTGCCGTGAGCACATCGCATCACATGCTGCTCGCCAGTTTGTCCTGAACATCGAACAACCCCTGTCGGGAAACCCTAAACCCTAAACCCTAAACCCTGGGAAAAGAAACAGCTCTCTGCCAAGCGACCAATGCAGCGCCTCGAGACGCGGGGGCTCAGACGGCCACACCAGGAGGCCGGAGCCCGTCAGCGCCAGGCTGTGCAGTGCCAGATGCCTTTGGGGTTTAGGGTTTAGGGTTTAGGGTTTAGGATTTAGGGTTTAGGGTTTAGGGTTTAGGGTTTAGGGTTCGGGGTTTAGAGTTTGGGGTTTGGGGATTGGGGTTTGGGGTTCAGGGGGCTCTAAGGTAGTATTGTCACAGGAGCTTTGGCGTTGAAGGGCTTAGGGTTTAGGATTCTAGGGTTGAGGATCTGGACCCGTAACCCGTAAACCCTAAATCCTAAACCCTAAACCCACAGCTTGTGAATGAACGCAACAGCACTTCTCACCGCTCGTGATTCGTGTGTAAGCTCCAAGAGGAGCAGGGGAGCGAGGCCACTAGCCCTAACCCTAATCCCCAAACCCTAAACCTCAAATTCCCCGAGCCTCCTCAAGTTCACCACTGGGAGGCCCTTAAACCCTAAACCGGCTCAGAGGAGGCGGCAGGTTGGTCGCGAAGATGGTGAAGTCTGCACTGGTGCGCATCTTCCTGGCTTTGAGGGTTGGTTTAGGGGATTAGGGTTTGGGGTTTCGGGTTTAGGGTTTAGGGTTTAGGGTTGGTTTAGGGTTCAGGGTTTGGGGTTTTGGGTTTTGGGTTTCGGGTTTTGGGTTTTGGGTTTTGGGTTTAGGGTTTTGGGTTTATGGTTGGAGTGGTTTGAGGGGTTAGAGGGCTTGAGGGTTTGAAAGCTTGGAGGGTTTGAGAGTTTGAGGGGTTTGAGGATTCGAGGGTTGGGGGGGTTGAGGGTTTGCTTGGGGGGGGTTGAGGGGCTTGTGGGGGCTGGTGGGGGCTTGTGGGGGCTTGAGGGCTTTGAGGGTTGGAGGGTTGGGTTCATAGACATTCTGAATTCGATTCAACACGGGGGTTGAGGGGGCTTGACAGTTGCAGGGTACCCCACCCTCAAGAAGGCAAGTCACATTCAACCCCTC